CAGCCTCAGCCCTGGGTCTACGGCCTCAGTCCTGGATCTAGAGCCTCAGTCCTGGATCTACAGCCTCAGTCCTGGATCTACAGCCTCAGTCCTGGATCTACAGCCTCAGTCCTGGGTACAACCTCAGTCCTGGATCTACAGCCTCAGTCCTGGATCTACAGCCTCAGTCCTGGGTTTACAGCCTCAGTCTATGATTTCGGGCTTTACACAGACGCATTAAGTTAAAATATAAACAGATAAACAGTCGTTCTCCCAGATCCGAGTCCTGGATCCGCTTGTGGAGCGTGGGTGGAGCTCTGGGACCGTGGTAATCGTCTGTGCGGCTCCTCAGGCCCTTCTCATTTGCCTACTCCTCTTGTTTACTCCTTCGCGGCGGCGTGCTGGCTTCCCCACACGGCTGCACAGATTTGAGCAGATAATAGGCCTGTGTTTGTCCATTCTGAGAGGTCCCCGAGGGCCCCATGACGGCCCCACACCTGTCTGTGCCGTCCTGAGTCAGAGCAGCCTTCTGTCCTCACACAACCACGCTGCATTTTCAGAGTTAGATTCTGAAAAGTCACTAAAACAAATCTGTCGCCACATGTTACTTCAGGACTTACTTTTACCATTGAGGTAAAACACTCCCAAAACCATGGACACAGCCTGGTGTGTCAGAGCGACCCGGCATCTAACCCGGCTTGCGACTTTAAATGAAAATGTTTTTTAGTCTGTTGCTAATATTAGCATCATAGGAAGAAGGTTCATGAACACAAACACAAAGAAGAGGGGAGTGAGAGACCAGAGAGAGACCAGAGAGAGACCAGAGAGACCAGAGAGAGACCAGAGAGACCAGAGAGAGACCAGAGAGAGACCAGAGAGAGACCAGAGAGAGACCAGAGAGAGGCCAGAGAGAGACCAGAGAGACCAGAGAGAGACCAGAGAGACCAGAGAGAGACTAGAGAGAGACCAGAGAGAGACCAGAGAGACCAGAGAGAGACCAGAGAGACCAGAGAGAGACCAGAGAGAGACCAGAGAGAGACCAGAGAGAGACCAGAGAGACCAGAGAGAGACCAGAGAGACCAGAGAGAGACCAGAGAGACCAGAGAGAGACCAGAGAGAGACCAGAGAGACCAGAGAGAGGCCAGAGAGAGACCAGAGAGAGACCAGAGAGAGACCAGAGAGAGACCAGAGAGACCAGAGAGAGACCAGAGAGAGACCAGAGAGACCAGAGAGAGACCAGAGAGAGGCCAGAGAGAGACCAGAGAGAGGCCAGAGAGAGACCAGAGAGACCAGAGAGAGACCAGAGAGACCAGAGAGAGACTAGAGAGAGACCAGAGACAGACCAGATAGAGACCAGAGAGAGACCAGAGAGAGACCAGAGAGAGACCAGAGAGAGACCAGAGAGAGACCAGATAGAGACCAGAGAGAAACCAGAGAGAGACCAGAGAGAGACCAGAGAGAGACCAGAGAGAGACCAGAGAGAGACCAGTGAGGGGCCAGAGAGACCAGAGAGAGACCAGAGAGAGACCAGAGAGAGACCAGTGAGAGTCCAGAGAGACAGAGAGAGACCAGAGAGAGACCAGAGAGAGCAGAGAGAGACCAGAGAGAGACCAGTGAGAGTCCAGAGAGACAGAGAGAGACCAGAGAGACCAGAGAGAGACCAGAAAGACTTCCAACCAGACCCTCCCAGACCTTCTCCTTCTGAGCTCTCATAACTTTCTCCACATTAACCCTGTCATTCATACCATGTGTTCACTTCATAATTTGTAAATCTGCGGCGGCGATAATCCCGGTCGTATTACACCTCAGGGATTACACCGTGACAAGCAGCAGCTCTTAAGCCCTGGCCCTATTAAAAACCGCGGGTCTTCGGTCCAATGCAGCCGTCACATCCCACAGATAAATGCCAGGATTTCTCCATCTTTTCAAACAATTATTTATGGTTTTCTTTGGTCGCTGGTTTCTGCAGAGAGCTCCATGGTGTTTGGACGTGGAAAAACATATTTCAGATTTCATAAGTTTATTTCATCTGGTCTCTCTCTCTGGTCTCTCACTGGTCTCTCTCTCTGGTCTTTCTTTGGTCTCTCACTGGTCTCTCTCTCTGGTCTTTCTTTGGTCTCTCACTGGTCTCTCTCTGGTCTCTCTCTGGTCTCTCTCTGGTCTCTCACTGGTCTCTCTCTGGTCTCTCACTGGTCTCTCTCTCTGGTCTTTCTTTGGTCTCTCACTGGTCTCTCTCTGGTCTCTCTCTGGTCTCTCACTGGTCTCTCTCTGGTCTCTCTCTGGTCTCTCACTGGTCTCTCTCTGGTCTCTCTCTCTGGTCTCTCACTGGTCTCCCTCTGGTCTCTCTCTCTGGTCTCTCACTGGTCTCTCTCTGGTCTCTCACTGGTCTCTCTCTCTGGTCTTTCTTTGGTCTCTCACTGGTCTTTCTCTGGTCTCTCTCTGGTCTCTCACTGGTCTCTCTCTCTGGTCTTTCTTTGGTCTCTCACTGGTCTCTCTCTGGTCTCTCTCTCTGGTCTCTCACTGGTCTCCCTCTGGTCTCTCTCTCTGGTCTCTCACTGGTCTCTCTCTGGTCTCTCACTGGTCTCTCACTGGTCTCTCTCTCTGGTCTTTCTTTGGTCTCTCACTGGTCTTTCTCTGGTCTCTCTCTGGTCTCTCACTGGTCTCTCTCTCTGGTCTTTCTTTGGTCTCTCTCTGGTCTCTCTCTGGTCTCTCTCTCTGGTCTCTCTTTGGTCTCTCACTGGTCTCTCGCTCTCTGGTCTATTTCTGTCTCTCTGGTCTCTCACTGGTCTCTGGTCTCTCTCTCTGGTATCTCTGTGGTCTCTCTCTGGTCTCTCTCTGGTCTCTCTGGTCTGTCTCTCTAGTCTCTCTTTCTGGTCCATTTTTTTAGTTATGGTTTTGTTACTTATAGTAACTGTAATCTAAATATCAGTGTAGGGGTCACCGACCTTTTTCAACCAGAGAGCTACTTTTATTCAACAGAAGAGACAGAGAGCTACTTTTATTCAACAGAAGAGACAGAGAGCTACTTTTATTCAACAGAAGAGACAGAGAGCTACTTTTATTCAACAGAAGAGACAGAGAGCTACTTTTATTCAACAGAAGAGACAGAGAGCTACTTTTATTCAACAGAAGATGCAGAGAGCTACTTTTATTCAACAGAAGAGACAGAGAGCTACTTTTATTCAACAGAAGAGACAGAGAGCTACTTTTATTCAACAGAAGAGGCAGAGAGCTACTTTTATTCAACAGAAGAGACAGAGAGCTACTTTTATTCAACAGAAGAGACAGAGAGCTACTTTTATTCAACAGAAGAGACAGAGAGCTACTTTTATTCAACAGAAGAGACAGAGAGCTACTTTTATTCAACAGAAGAGACAGAGAGCTACTTGTATTCAACAGAAGAGGCAGAGAGCTACTTTTATTCAACAGAAGAGGCAGAGAGCTACTTTTATTCAACAGAAGAGACAGAGACAGAGAGCTACTTGTATTCAACAGAAGAGGCAGAGAGCTACTTTTATTCAACAGAAGAGACAGAGAGCTACTTTTATTCAACAGAAGAGACAGAGAGCTACTTTTATTCAACAGAAGAGACAGAGAGCTACTTTTATTCAACAGAAGAGACAGAGAGCTACTTGTATTCAACAGAAGAGGCAGAGAGCTACTTTTATTCAACAGAAGAGGCAGAGAGCTACTTTTATTCAACAGAAGAGACAGAGAGCTACTTTTATTCAACAGAAGAGACAGAGAGCTACTTTTATTCAACAGAAGAGGCAGAGAGCTACTTTTATTCAACAGAAGAGGCAGAGAGCTACTTTTATTCAACAGAAGAGGCAGAGAGCTACTTTTATTCAACAGAAGAGGCAGAGAGCTACTTTTATTCAACAGAAGAGGCAGAGAGCTACTTTTATTCAACAGAAGAGACAGAGAGCTACTTTTATTCAACAGAAGAGACAGAGAGCTACTTTTATTCAACAGAAGGGGCAGAGAGCTACTTTTATTCAACAGAAGAGACAGAGAGCTACTTTTATTCAACAGAAGAGACAGAGAGCTACTTTTATTCAACAGAAGAGACAGAGAGCTACTTTTATTCAACAGAAGAGACAGAGAGCTACTTTTATTCAACAGAAGAGACAGAGAGCTACTTGTATTCAACAGAAGAGGCAGAGAGCTACTTTTATTCAACAGAAGAGGCAGAGAGCTACTTTTATTCAACAGAAGAGACAGAGAGCTACTTTTATTCAACAGAAGAGACAGAGAGCTACTTTTATTCAACAGAAGAGGCAGAGAGCTACTTTTATTCAACAGAAGAGGCAGAGAGCTACTTTTATTCAACAGAAGAGACAGAGAGCTACTTTTATTCAACAGAAGAGACAGAGAGCTACTTTTATTCAACAGAAGAGGCAGAGAGCTACTTTTATTCAACAGAAGAGGCAGAGAGCTACTTTTATTCAACAGAAGAGGCAGAGAGCTACTTTTATTCAACAGAAGAGGCAGAGAGCTACTTTTATTCAACAGAAGAGACAGAGAGCTACTTGTATTCAACAGAAGAGGCAGAGAGCTACTTTTATTCAACAGAAGAGGCAGAGAGCTACTTTTATTCAACAGAAGAGACAGAGAGCTACTTGTATTCAACAGAAGAGGCAGAGAGCTACTTTTATTCAACAGAAGAGACAGAGAGCTACTTTTATTCAACAGAAGAGACAGAGAGCTACTTTTATTCAACAGAAGGGGAAGAGAGCTACTTTTATTCAACAGAAGAGGCAGAGAGCTACTTTGTTTCATCATGTCTTCAATTCTAAATCCTTTGGGGAGGTATCTACAAGAGGCTGGCGAGCTACTGATAGCTCCCGCGCCACAGGCTGGAGACCCTGCTGTAGTCGAATAGTTACTGTCATTAAAAGAGCACTGTCCTCGTTTGTAGTTCCTGTTGTTTTAAAGTTGCGTCCCTCAGCTTTAACCCACCTCTGAACAGGAAACACATTTGACTTTTTACTTAAACATTTATAGAATCTTTTTCCAAAATGGTGTTTTTGTGGCGCAGCCCACGAGCCCAGCTGCAGAGTGGGCTGAAGGATGGAAGCCCGGAGAGACAAAAAGGAGAACAAAAGAGGCTGGCAGCCAGAGTCCGTCCTCCCACTGTGTCTCCACTGAAGCCAAGCCCCGGCCCCGCCTTAAACAGACCAGTCCGCCTTAAAACACACCAATCCTCCCAAACACGTAAGTCCACCTTAAACACAGACAAAGTTACATTTGTGGAAATGATGCGAGTTTGAAACAAATCATGAAACTTTCTCCCAGTTTTATATATTTATTAAAAAGCAGAAGGCTCTCCAACCTTTCCTGTGGTCGGGTCGACACGGGTCAAAAAACACGAGTGTGCAGTAAGACAGGGCCGTGTGAGTGTGCCTAGGCCTGTGTGTGTTTGTATAGTGTTGTGTTGCATTTCTACACACTTCCATTGGCCTGTGTGTGTTTGTATAGTGTTGTGTTGCATTTCTACACACTTCCATTGGCCTGTGTGCGTGCGCTGGGATTAGCTTCAAAATAACAACTCTCCTGGTCTTGAATAACGTCAGTAAGAGTCAGAGTGAGCCGCAAAAAAACTTCACTGAGCAGCAGCACTGAAGTTACCGATTCATCAACAACAGAAAATCAAACCGTTTGAACAGAGGAAAAGCAACAGGAGCCATTGGTCCAGGAGGAGTAGGGGGAGCAGGAGGAGCAGGAGGAGCAGGAGGAGCAGGGGGAGCAGGGGGAGCAGGGGGAGCAAGGGGGTCAGGAGGAGCAGGAGGAGCAGGAGGAGCAGGAGGAGCAGGAGGAGCAGGGGGAGCAGGGGGAGCAGGAGGAGCAGGAGAGGCAGGAGGAGCAGGAGGAGCAGGGGGAGCAGGGGGAGCAGGAGGAGCAGGAGGAGCAGGAGGAGCAGGCGGAGCAGGAGGAGCAGGAGGAGCAGGCGGAGCAGGAGGAGCAGGAGGAGCAGGCGGAGCAGGAGGAGCAGGCGGAGCAGGAGGAGCAGGAGGAGCAGGAGGAGCAGGAGGAGCAGGGGGAGCAAGGGGGTCAGGAGGAGCAGGAGGAGCAGGGGGAGAGCAGGAGGAGCAGGAGGAGCAGGAGGAGCAGGGGGAGCAGGAGGAGCAGGAGGAGCAGGAGGAGCAGGAGGAGCAGGAGGAGCAGGAGCAGGAGGAGCAGGAGGAGCAGGGGGAGCAGGAGGAGCAGGAGGAGCAGGAGGAGCAGGAGGAGCAGGAGGAGCAGGAGCAGGAGGAGCAGGAGGAGCAGGAGGAGCAGGAGGAGCAGGGGTAGCAGGAGGAGCAGGAGGAGCAGGGGGAGCAGGAGGAGCAGGGGGAGCAGGAGGAGCAGGGGTAGCAGGGGGAGCAGGAGGAGCAGGAGGAGCAGGAGGAGCAGGAGGAGCAGGGGGAGCAGGAGGAGCAGGGGGAGCAGGGGGAGCAGGAGGAGCAGGGGGAGCAGGAGGAGCAGGGGTAGCAGGGGGAGCAGGGGGAGCAGGGGGAGCAGGAGGAGCAGGAGGAGCAGGAGGAGCAGGGGGAGCAGGAGGAGCAGGAGGAGCAGGGGAAGCAGGAGGAGCAGGGGAAGCAGGAGGAGCAGGAGGAGCAGGAGGAGCAGGAGGAGCAGTGTTGATAAATATTATAAATGTCGATGATAAAGATAATTGTTTTGAAAGGGACCAGAGCATTGTTCTGCAGCAGAAGGTCTGGCTCCTGCTCCTCTCGCTCTCGCCCACCTCCCAGCTGCTCCCGAGACCAGCCTGGGTCTGAGACCGCCTGGGTCTGAGACCGCCTGGTCCTTAGACCGACCTGGTCCCGAGACCAGCCTGCTCCCGAGACCAGCCTGGGTCTGAGACCAGCCTGGGTCTGAGACCGCCTGGGTCTGAGACCGCCTGGGTCTGAGACCGCCTGGGTCTGAGACCGCCTGGTCCTTAGACCGACCTGGTCCCGAGACCAGCCTGCTCCCGAGACCAGCCTGCTCCTGAGACCAGCCTGCTCCCGAGACCAGCCTGCTCCTGAGACCAGCCTGCTCCCGAGACCGGCCTGGGTCTGAGACTGGCCTGGGTCTGAGACCGCCTGGTCCTGAGACAGCCTGGTCCTGAGACCGTCTGGTCCTGAGACCATCTGGTCCTGAGACCGTCTGGTCCTGAGACCGTCTGGTCCTGAGACCGTCTGGTCCTGAGACCGTCTGGTCCAGAGACCGTCTGGTCCAGAGACCGTCTGGTCCAGAGACCAGCCTGGGTCTGAGACCAGACTGGTCCCTTGGACCGACCTGATTCTAAGATTGGCCAGTGACCAGCCTGGTCCTGAGACCAGTCCTGAGACTCTCTCCTGTCTCTCTCTCCTGTCTCTCTCTCTCCTGTCTCTCTCTCTCCTGTCTCTCTCTCCTGTCTCTCTCTCTCCTGTCTCTCTCTCTCCTGTCTCTCTCTCTCCTGTCTCTCTCTCCTGTCTCTCTCTCCTGTCTTTCTCTCTCCTGTTTCTCTCTCCTGTCTCTCTCTCTCCTGTTTCTCTCTCCTGTCTCTCTCTCTCCTGTCTCTCTCTCTCCTGTCTCTCTCTCCTGTCTCTCTCTCTCCTGTCTCTCTCTCTCTCCTGTCTCTCTCTCCTGTCTCTCTCTCCTGTCTCTCTCTCTCCTGTCTCTCTCTCTCTCCTGTCTCTCTCTCCTGTCTCTCTCTCCTGTCTCTCTCTCTCCTGTCTCTCTCTCCTGTCTCTCTCTCTCCTGTCTCTCTCTCTCTCCTGTCTCTCTCTCCTGTCTCTCTCTCCTGTCTCTCTCTCCTGGTCCTTTGACTTTGGCGTGTCGTGCTGATGTCATCTCTCTCGGCGCTGGTCTCTCTCTGTGTTCTGAATAATCTCGTCTCAAAGGAGAGTTTTGGCTCCAGAAAAAAAAAGGACAAAATCATAATCCTGCTGAGACTTTGAGTTTGTGAAGGTCGGATTGTGACAGGACTGAGACTGTAGACCCAGGATTGAGGTAGACTCAGGATTGAGGTAGACTCAGGACTGAGGTAGACCCAGGACTGAGGTAGACCCAGGACTGAGGTAGACCCAGGACTGAGGTAGACCCAGGACTGAGGCTGTAGACCCAGGACTGAGGTAGACCCAGGACTGAGGCTGTAGACCCAGGACTGAGGTAGACCCAGGACTGAGGTAGACCCAGGACTGAGGTTGTAGACCCAGGACTGAGGCTGTAGACCCAGGACTGAGGCTGTAGACCCAGGACTGAGGTTGTAGACCCAGGACTGAGGCTGTAGACCCAGGACTGAGGTTGTAGATCCAGGACTGAGGCTGTAGACCCAGGACTGAGGTTGTAGACCCAGGACTGAGGCTGTAGACCCAGGACTGAGGTTGTAGACCCAGGACTGAGGCTGTAGACCCAGGGCTGAGGCTGTAGACCCAGGACTGAGGCTGTAGACCCAGGACTGAGGCTGTAGACCCAGGACTGAGGCTGTAGACCCAGGACTGAGGCTGTAGATCTTTTTTTTAGACTTAAGGTTGTATTTCTATGTAGAGATATTCATGCTTCTGTGAACTTCCTGGATCTGTCTGCAGCATGGACGGAGTAAAAACCCTCTCCAGGTCTTTCCTCATGTGTCGTACCTCAGTTTAAAACAGGAATATCTGCTTTTTTTGAAACAAGAACCACATCAGAACAACATAATCTACTGGAATTAATTGTGACCAGGACTGGACCAGGACTGGACCAGGACTGGACCAGGAGTGGAGTCCTATCTGCTCGGGCCATCTGTGTCTGGAGCTCATGTTATCTGCAATTACAGACGTTCCACATCTACAGCAGTGTGTGTGTGTGTCTGTGTGTGTCTGTGTGTGTGTCTGTGTGTGTGTCTGTGTGTGTGTATGTGTGTGTGTGTGTGTGTGTGTGTGTGTGTGTGTGTGTGTGTGTATGTGTGTGTGTTTGTGCATAAGGAGAAAGACAGACATATATATTTTCACAATTGAATCTACACAGACAGAACTAGTACTAAACACTGACACTGCTGGGACTCTGAGGAGCACAGGGACTGGCCTCCTGCTGGGACTCTGAGGAGCACAGGGACTGGCCTCCTGCTGGGACTCTGAGGAGCACAGGGACTGGCCTCCTGCTGGGACTTTGAGGAGCACAGGGACTGGCCTCCTGCTGGGACTTTGAGGAGCACAGGGACCGGCCTCCTGCTGCGACTCTGAGGAGCACAGGGACCGGCCTCCTGCTGGTCTCAGAGTCAGGACTAAACATTTCCAATTTAAGCTAAACTCTTAAACATTTTCCTGAAAATGTGAGACAGACTTCTTCTCTGGGACTTTGACTTTTGTCTTTTTAATGTTGTGTGATTATTCATGAGTTTATTTCCTTGTGATTGGTCCTGACGTGTTGGAGTTGCCTTCTGTGTGAACTGTGCTGCGCTGATGAATGAACATATTGTATTTGTAATGAACCCATGATGAGATAGTCAGGAAACCCTGTGGGCTCTAACCCCAGAGCGGCTGCAGACTGTAGACTCAGGACGAGGCTTACATATCAGTCCAGACCAGTCCATGCAGTCCAGACCAGTCCATGCAGTCCAGACCAGTTCAGTTTACTTGAGCTCAGAGCGATACATACACACACACACACACACATAGACACACACTCACACACACATACACACACACACACACACACACACACACACACACAGACACAGACACACACACACACACACACACACAGACACACACACACACACAGACAGATCAAAGAGATAGAGTGGGTAAAATCAAAAGGAAAAATCTACAAACACATTTTTGGCGTCATTTTAAAAACAGGATCAGCCTCAGATCGGATCATTCTGTGACTCAGAGAATTAAAGGTCCTGAGTCTGAAACAGCAGCAGATGAACATGAACATCAGGAAATCACTGACTTTAAAAAGCAATCATTAAAGAAAAATCTATAAAAATGACCCCGAAAAATGTGCAACAGACGATGATAGTTTCCTTCAATTTTTCTCTAAAAATGAAACTTGAGAAAAATAAACATGGTCTGGTTTGACATTGAGTTGGTTTGATATGAAAGTACTCACTCTGTTTCTACTCTGTGTAAAAACAGAGAAATAAGTAACAACCTTCACTCATTCAAAGGATCAGGCCGTTACATAAATAAACCGTTACTATAGAAACATAATAATAATAATGCACGAGTTTTATAAAGCGCTTTTCTGGACTCTCAACCAACCATTCACATTCTAGGCAATGAGGGTGAAGTGCCTTGCCTAAGGACACAACGACAGCAGACATCAGTGGGAGTCGGTAGAGAAAATCTTGTGGTGGACTTGAACCCACAAGCTTCTGGCTCAAAGCCCAATGCTCTACCAACTGAGTTACTGTCGCACATGTGACTCATTTATAAAAAACTGTCTCTTTTAGAAACTTCTAAAGACAGAGGAGGGATTGTTGTTTTGGTTTTTAGTCACACTTTTGTATCTTTGATAAGAACAAACACATCGTTATGATCTTCCATCTGGTTGGAAATGAAGCCGTGTGATTGGACGGCTTGTGATTGGGCAGCGTGTGATTGGGCGGTGTGTGATTGGACGGCGTGTGATTGGACGGCTTGTGATTGGGCGGCGTGTGATTGGACGGCTTGGGATTGGACGGCTTGTGATTGGGCGGCGTGTGATTGGACGGCGTGTGATTGGACGGCTTGTGATTGGGCAGCGTGTGATTGGGCGGCTTGTGATTGGACGGCGTGTGATTGGGCGGCGTGTGATTGGGCGGCGTGTGATTGGGCGGCGTGTGATTGGGCGGCGTGTGGACCAGTGTCGTAGGAGCGTGACAAAGCAGATCCGAGGTCAGCGCCCGAGGACACGGCTCCAACAGTGTGCTTTTTGAGCGAGCGGAGCGTGTGACTCTCAGCTGCTGCTACAGATAAAACTCTCTTTCTCTCTTCCACCAAACCAGAATAGACCCGACTCACGGCGGAGGATTTATCTGTGGTTACAATCTCCCGCCGGCAACGAACCACTGTCCTTTCTCTCGGTGTGAATGAGGCTCTTGTGGTCACGAGAACCCACTTTTTATAAATGTGTGAATGCTACAAACCAACGAGAGAAGTCAGAGAAGAGAACAAGCAAATTTAGACCAGAAGAGAAAGAAAATGTCCATCTTTAAAGGGCCCTAATCTGTCATAATTAAAGGGCCCTATTATGTCATCTTTAAAGGGCCCTAATCTGTCATCATGAAAGGGCCCTAATCTGTCATCATTGAAGGGTCCTAATCTGTCATCATTAAAGGGCCCTAATCTGACACCATGAAAGGCCCCTAATCTGTCATCATTAAAGGGCCCTAATCTGTCATCATTAAAGGACCCTAATCTGTCATCATTAAAGGGCCCTAATCTGTCATCTTTAAAGGGCCCTAATCCTTCATCATTAAAGGGCCCTAATCTGTCATCATTAAAGGGCCCTAATCTGTCATCATTAAAGGGCCCTAATCTGTCATCATTAAAGGGTCCTAAACTGTCATCATTAAAGGGCCCTAATCTGTCATCATTAAAGGGCCCTAATCTGTCATCTTTAAAGGGCCCTAATCTGTCATAATTAAAGGGCCCTAATCTGTCATCATTAAAGGGCCCTAATATGTGATAATTAAAGGGCCCTAATCTCTCATCATTAAAGGGCCCTAATATGTGATCATTAAAGGGCCCTAATCTGTCATAATTAAAGGGCCCTAATCTGTCATAATAATAAACTGCTCTTTTCCAATCCTTCTTTAACTGATAACAGTAGTTCAGAGATATTTGAATTTCTAAATTACTTCTCCAGCTCCTAAATCATGTTATTGTTTTCCTTTTGATGTCCCGCCCTCCACCGTTTCACCAATCAGAAAGTCTGTGATCCGGGCGCCAGAACTCACCGTGTGGAGCTATTCTCACTGGTAAAGTACCATGTGGCCACAGAAGTAAAAAAAAAAAAAGGTCCCGTTATGATTCTCAAATCATTAACGACAAAACAAGGAATAAAACCAGGATTTCAGTCTCTGAGGACACTGGAGCACCTGGAGGAAACCAGAGCAGACACAAGGAGAACATGCAAACTCCACACACAAAAGCCTGGAATCGAACCCAGGACTGCCCTATCTCCAGACTCTCTCCTGCACACAGACAAAAAGATGATGACGGAGGTTTCTCACCAGTTTGAACCCGCTGGTCTCGCTCAACGGATCTCGTCTGGTCTCATCTGGTCTCGCCCCACGGATCCGGTCTGGTCTCGTGCCGTAAAGTCGTGTGCTCTTGTTTTACAGCGTGTAGAATCTGACGCCGCGGTGTGAGGAGCGTGCCGCGGCATCAGCCCAAAACGCAGATCGATGGATTCCTTTTAGCTCCGGCTTCAGCAATAAACAATCAGAGAGAGGATCGATACGAGGAAAAAGAGACCGAGACCAGGAGAGGCCGAGGGCAGGACTCTCACGGAGGGGGGAGGGAGGGAGGAAGAGGGAGAGGAGGAGAGGGGGGGGGGGTCGTCTTTATCTCAGTATCTTTAACTTTGGACCAGGTTTATGGAGCTGGTCCAATTGGTCCTCTCATACGCCCTGTTTCCACCAGCCCTATTCTACTCTACTCTATCCTACCCTACTCTTGGTCCTGGTTCTATCCAGGCCGAGCTGGTACTAAAGTGTTCTAACTGAGGGAGATTGACCAGATGCTGCTGGAAGCCATGGTTACCAAGGAATTTCTTGGGGATACTGGTTTGTTGAGAATAGGTTTCTAGGATACAGTACCAGATACTAAATTGTATTGGAACCACAACAGAGTAGAGCAGAGCAGGCCAGGGCAGGGCAGGGCAGAGTAGAGTTAAGTAGAGTAGGGTAGGGTAGGGTAGAGTAGAGTTGAGTAGAGTAGGGTAGGGTAGGGTAGGGTAGAGTAGAGTAGAGTAGAGTAGAGTAGAGTAGAGTAGAGTAGAGTAGAGTAGAGTAGAGTTGAGTAGAGTAGAGTAGAGTAGAGTAGGGTAGGGTAGGGTAGGGTAGAGTAGGGTAGGGTAGGTTAGAGCAGGCAAGGGCAGGGCAGAGTAGAGTAGAGTAGAGTACAGTAGAGTAGAGTAGAGTAGAGTAGGAGCAAGGCTGTAAGGTCTACTTTAAATACATATATTTTAAACAGATGTATTGCGTTTCCCATGTTACGACTGACGGCCTTAACAGTCACAGACCTAGAGTTGTGTTTAGATTAATCCAGGCTGATACCTGGATTCTTTTATACATTTTTGAACCTCAAGCAATGAATCTATGTCACTAGTTCCTGGCTCCAAAACAGTTTCAGGCCTTTGTCACATCTATCAGATCAGATTCTTCAGATGTGACAAAGAGACAAAGAGAGGACCGCCCTCTCTCAGTCAATCAGCCCAAAAAGTCAAATAGTGACTCACAGGGCTTACTCTATGGGCTGAGAGCTGAGGGATCTTCCATTCCCCACTTTTCTGTTTGAAAAAGCTGATCTAAAAACACAAACATGTAAAACTGTCTTGAGGGCATTGAAATAGCGACACAGATTTTTCAACGGTTCATTTCTTTGTTCTTTGTTGTTCTTTGAAAGTCAGGTACCTCAGCTTTAAGGCGACAACACTATGATTGGTCATTAGCTTCTTTCTCACCGTGCTCCTATAGCTCCCAACGCCGCCGACGGCTGCAGTCTGCTAATTATCAAACACATGATGACCACGTAATGAAAGCCGAGCTCAGTCTGACCTTTGCTGAAGCCGCCTCCATTACCTCAGACACCGACCCCTCGGAAGGAAACAGGAAGTAAAACGCACACGCAACTATTATTATCCCACTAATGCAGTTTGAGGTGCACAGATCCGATGAGTTTTTATCTCCCGATGGACGAGATAGCGGCTGTAGTGGCAGGTAAACAAGTCGTGGTTCCTGACGACAGCTCCCTGATTAGGTTGTGATCTGAAGATAGCGTGGAGGCGTGGAAATTATCTTGTGGCGTGTGAAAGAGGAGAGCGTTTGTCTTAGTTTGTGTCCGGTTTGATCTGGATTGAGACTAGACACAGCTCAGGAACCAGAACCAGGGACACACGATTATTAGACATGAGCTGGAGCAGAGGAAAACAGCAGAAGAATAATAGTGGTAATAATCATAATACTTGATCAAGCATGTACAGCTGAAATACAGTGTCAACCAACCCCCTGCCCTTTCCAAGATGTCTGCCCTGGTCTCTCCAAGATGTCTGCCCTGCTCTTTCCAATATGTCTGCCCTGGTCTCTCCAAGATGTCTGCCCTGGTTTCTCCACGATGTCTGCCCCTGGTCTCTCCACGATGTCTGCCCCTGGTCTCTCCACGATGTCTGCCCCTGGTCTCTCCAAGATGTCTGCCCCTGGTCTCTCCAAGATGTCTGCCCCTGGTCTCTCCAAGATGTCTGCCCCTGGTCTCTCCACGATGTCTGCCCCTGGTCTCTCCAAGATGTCTGCCCCTGGTCTCTCCACGATGTCTGCCTCTGGTCTCTCCAAGATGTCTGCCTCCGGTCTCTCCAAGATGTCTGCCTCCGGTCTCTCCAAGATGTCTGCCTCCGGTCTCTCCAAGATGTCTGCATTTTTTACATTCTATTTCAAATCCACTCCAATTGAATAATTGGAGTGGATTATTGTTAAATGAGATTTTCAAATGTAATGACACATTATTCACACCAAATGTTCTTAAATCTGTTTGACTTGCTCATAACCTTCTACTTTTGGGTACAACCAACAAGAGCTGTTAATGAAAGGGAAAATGTAGGTACCCCAGCTTTAATTTTGTGAGTTTGGTTGCATTTCAGCGTGTCTCCTCCTCTCCTCCGTGTGTCACACAACATCAGAGAATGGCCCCTGTGCGTGTATATATATGAGTGTATTATATGACCACATCACACACACATTCTGAGTGATGCGATTGACTGCCAGCTTATTTCAGAACAGGTACTCCCATATTGCCAGCCGTTTCTGATGATTTTTACTGAATTTTCAAGACCCACAGAATATTGTGTACTATGACTATCTGAAATCCAAAACCAGATTCTGAAAGAATGGACTGTCTACTTTCATCAGCAAAAATAGTTTTGTTTCTAGCTTGTTTCGTCCCCCTGTAATCCCCAGTCGAGTAGAGGTAAGTTTTATTGAAATCACCAGAAAGCACAAGAGGCACATGTGCATCTAGCTGTTTTCAAACCATTCATAGAGCAATGCTGCCATCTGCTGGCTCGATAAAATATTGCCTTAAGCCTTACATATTTGATACAACAGACATCTGGGAACGTGAAAATAGCGGGAAACGCAGTTGACGTGTTAACACGTCAATGGCAGTTAATGTGTTAATTATGTTTTAACGCGTTCATGAAAATGGTAATTAACGTTAATTAACGCAAGAATTTTGACAGCCTTAATTTATATACCACCTTTTCACTGCAGAGCTGAGTCTCAAAGCAGTTTACAATTGTTAATTTTGGGCATTTGTTTCTCACTCCACACAGAGATGGGAGCGGGGCCAGTACAGGAGGCGCATGCCAGAACTATTGTACATATTTTTAGTGGTAGGGGAAACCGGAGTACCCGGAGGAAACCTACGCAGACACGGGGAGAACATGCAAACTCCACTCAGAAAGGCCCTGATCCGACCGGGATTCGAACCGGCACGTGCCGCCCTCTCTCCAAGATGTATGCCTCTGGTCTCTTCAAGATGTCTGCCTCTGGTCTCTTCAAGATGTCTGCCTCTGGTCTCTCCAAGATGTCTGCCTCTGGTCTCTCCAAGATGTCTGCCTCTGGTCTCTCCAAGATGTCTGCCTCTGGTCTCTTCAAGATGTCTGCCTCTGGTCTCTCCAAGATGTCTGCCTCTGGTCTCTTCAAGATGTCTGCCTCTGGTCTCTCCAAGATGTCTGCCCTTGTCTCTCGAAGATGTCTTGTTTTAGTGTTTCAACCCTCTACAGCTGAAGGAGGTGAATATATCGTTCTGGTAGATAGTTCGAACGCCAAAATATATTTTATTATTCTCAAAAAAAAACAGAGGAGCCATGATTTTTCCCCGACCAGAGCCCGCACAGCTGCCGATGGGAGAAACAGTTTGTGATTTAGCTAACGCGCGGCGCTAGGCTAATGCAACATGATGGTCTATGAAGAAGACACAGAGCTGCATCACCGCCGGTAAGAAAACTGAACATTAAAACTCAAACGCTACAGATAAGCGGGACATGTGGGGCATTCTGTGTGTTTAGCATTTTATAAACATGTTGGAGTTGTACTTTTGGTGATTAATACATTCAGTCATGTTCTCCGAGTCATACAGAGGGCCGCTACTGGCCCCCGGGCCTGAGTTTGGACGTCCCTGAGCTATGATGGTTTGAACTTGGGGCAACAGTAGCTCAGTTGGTAGAGCGTTGGCCTTTGAGCCAGAAGGTCCTGGGTTCGAGCCAACTCAAGACGTTCACCATCGACTACCAATGACTACTGTGGTTGTGTCCTTAGGCAAGACACTTCCCCCACATTAGAATGAGTCTGGTGTGTGTGTGAACGGTTGATGGTGGTGGGAGGGGCCGATGGCACAGACTGGTTGCCTCGCTTCTGTCAGTGTGCCCCAGGGCAGCTGTGGCTACACTAGTAGTTTATCACCACCAAACTAGTCTGTGACAATGTGTGTAAACTATGTTCAGTATGTAGTAAGTCATCTTTATTTATTTAGCACATTTTTACAGACCGATGTCCCCCAAAAACTGTTCCACTGAGCTGAGTCTCTCTCTTCATTCTGTCCATGTTTTTGTGGTAAACAGGAAACGTCTAACTTTACAAAGACAGACTGATGATTGTGTAGGACTAAAGTGAGTGACTTCTGCCGGAGAAGGCGGGGCAGGCAGCAGAATACTTCAAGCTGACTGGGCGAAGTGACGCTGTTTTCCCGCCTACCACGGTTTAAGCCAATCACGGAAACAAATAAATATGTTGCTATCGGCTGCGCCTGGAGGAACCACGACAAGTTGTGCTGGACTGAACTAGTTTTATTTGGTTTATGACTGCCTCGCCATCATCTCTTTGATCTACCTCATCACGACACAACTCGACTCTTTCTAAAAAGAAATGTGTGCGAAAACGGACTCATAGCTTCAGCATCTGTCCTGTTACGCGGCCATGGCTGCGTGGCACCCGCCAGAACCGGATATCTATATTTTCACTTATTCCACTAATGATAAGTAAAAAACGCATACGTTTTGCAGCTAAAACCTGGAACAGTCTTATTGAAAATGTGAGTCTCACAATGTTCAAATCCAGGTTCAAAACAGATCCCTAATTATTTATGATTTTAATGATGTTTCTTTCTTTGGTTTGAGTTGCATTGTGTATTAAAGGTTCATAGGAGGATTTTCTACTTCCAGGTGGATCATAAAGACTATTGGTCCACCCACTTGTCAATCATTCTGGTGATACGTGCTCGTCCAATCAGACCAGAGAGATTTGTTCAGAGATTGGAGAGGGAGGGGCTTTCCTAAAAATGGCCTTTATGCCTTCAACTGTGCAATACATATAAACTTGCCTTACTTCCTGCATGGTGGTATCCAAGCCTGCACAGCCGCATCACCGCCTGACCGAGCGCTTCTCCATCTCTCTGTCCCTCCCCACTCTCCCACCTCTCCCCCCTCTTCCCCATCTCCCTCCCCCCTCTGCACGCTCGGAGCCTGGGTGAGTGACAGCCAATGAGCGCGCCCTGTCCCCTTTCACTCTCTCTCCCTTTGCCTCCTCTCTCTCTCTCTCCTCTCTCTCTCTGTCTCCTCTCTCTCCTCTCTCTCTCCTCTCTCTCCTCTCTCTCTCTCTCTCCCCTCCACTCCCCCCTCCCCTCCCCTCTCCTCTCCACTCTGCGCTGACTCCAGAGCGACACACAAGCGGAGCAGCTCAAGAGAGAGCCACTGCTCCCGTCGCGGACCCACTATCCTTCCCCGCAAACGCACCGCGCGCTCCGGGGACTTTATTCGGATACGAGCCTCTCCTCTTCCTCCTCTTCCTCCTCTTCCTCCCTTCCCCCGTGATCCACCAGGACGCGGATAAACTTGACATGTGAGTTTTTTTCTCCGTAGTATTTGCTGTTTGCGCGATCGGGAACTTCTGGACGTTCGAACAGAATGGGATTTATTTTCAGGATTTACGCTGGATTTTCAGAAATAGCAAAAAAAAAGTTCCTTGGATTTTTCCCCCTCTTCGCTTCTGTTTGTCCGCACTGCTTTGGGATCCACACTGCTACAACTGTGTGTGTTTTTAACGTTGATAAAACCGGTATTTACTGAAGAAATGCAGCACTCTCTATAACACTATCTCTATTATCATTAAATTATAGAGATATTTCTTATACTTAGTGTGGTCTCTGTCCGGGCTGATCTGCTGGTCTCTCCTGGTCCTCTGCTGGTCTCTCCTGGTCTCTGTCCTGGTCCTTTGCTGGTCTTTCCCGGTCCTCTGCTGGTTCTCTGCTAGTCTCTCCTGGCCTCTTTACTGGTCTCTCTCCTGGTCTCTGCTGGTCTCTCCTGGTCTCTCTCCTGGTCTTCTGCTGGTCTCTCCTGGTCTCTCTCCTGGTCTTCTGCTGGTCTCTCTCCCGGTCTTCTGCTGGTCTCTCCTGGTCTCTGCTGGTCTTTCCTTGTCCCCTGGTAAATCCCGATGACACAGCGCGGTCCGTGCGTGAGACAGAGGCAGGAGCAGGAGATCTATGCCGAGTTTCAGGCGCATTTGTCTCATTTGCTAAAGTCTGAAAACGCTCCGAAATTCAAATTACTCAGGTGTGTGTGTTTGTATGTTTTTATGTATGTGTGTGTGTGTGTGTGTGTTTGTATGTGTGTGTGTGTGTATGTGTGTGCACGCGTATTTATGTATGTAAGTATTTATGTATATGTGTGTGTATGTATTTATGTATGCGTGTGTAAATAAGTGTGTTTGTATGTAATTATGTGTGTGTGTTTATAAGTATTTATGTATTTATTTATTTATTTATGTGTATATATATATATATATATATATATATATATATATATATATATATATATATATATATATCTAGGTGTGTATCTGTGTGTGTGTGTGTGTGTGTATCTGTGTGTGTGCGTGTGTGTATGTATGTGTGTGTGTGTATATCTGTGTATGTGTGTATATATGTGTCTGTATGTGTGTATCTGTGTGTGTATCTGTATGTGTGTATTGATAGACACATATATTTAGTGTGATTTCTCTGAAAATGTGAAATAAAATTCTGATTCTTAAAAGAGCGGGTCGTGAACCAAAACCTCAGGTTTGAGCAGCGACAGTTTCAGTATTTTAAATATTTCCTAAAATACATTTGTTATAATTTATTTATGTCGCACAAACCGCTCTGCACGGGTCTCAGTCTGAGGATCAGAGGGTTTAGGTCTGATGGTCCAGTCTGTTCTGGACTCGCTTCTGTCATCACCGTGTGTGGAAGGATTGGAACAATATCTGACTCTGAACATTGTGAAGATCTTTGGGTCTGTGCCTTGGTTTCCCAAAGTCTGAGTCTCTGCTGCAGCGGGAGACAAACTGTGGCTTTGGAATCGTTCATTAGTCGTAACAAATTAAAAAACAGTGAAAAACAAAGTCGAATTTTTATACGAATCTCTTGTTTTTGTGTTTTTAATCTGGACTTCTGTAGAAAAGGTCCAGTCCGGCTTCTTCTTTGTCAGAGTTTATTTCAGTCCTGTTAAAAACGAAAAACAAAATATTAAAATGAGGAACTTTAAGCACATTTTACTCATGATTTAAACATTGATTAAAATCTCGTCGGTCTCAAAGTCAAACTGTGTTTTTATAAAGCCATAAAAACAATTAACAATGTTCTACAGAATATTCTATGTTTTAAAATGAGGGGATTAGTTTATTTGCCTTTAAAGCGACAACAATGACGTCACATGACTTTAACAATTCAAAATATGGATCAAATAAAATAAAATTAAACCAGTTTGGAAGACGACTGCTTCGTTTTCAATATTTTCCGTAAGAAACGACTCTAAAGTCTTTGAAATGTATTTGTGATAAAATTTTGTGTTGTTACGTCCATGATTGGAGTAAATAAACGAGGAAATGGTTTGACTTTAGTGACGTCAAAGATGTTTGTAGAAACCTGCGGATGTTTTGAGAGAGGGGCTAAAGCAGTGGAACAGCTCCCTCTGCGTGTGTGTGTGTCTGTGTGTGTGTGTGTATGTGTGTGTCGGGGTGTGTAAATGTGTGTGTGTGTGTGTGTGCGTGTGTGTGCGTGTGTGTGTGTCTGTGTGTGTGTGTGTGTGTGTGTGTTTGTGTGTGTGTGTGTGCGTGCGTGCGTGTGTGTGTGTGTGTGTATGTGTCTGTGTGTTTGTGTGTATGTGTGTGTCGGGGTGTGTAAATGTGTGTGTGTGTGTGTGTCGGGGTGTGTAAATGTGTGTGTGTGTGTGTGTGTCAGGGTGTGTAAATGTGTGTGTCGGGGTGTGTAAATGTGTGTGTGTGTCTGTGTGTGTGTCCGTGTCTGTGTGTGTGTGTGTCTGTGTGTGTGTGTGTGTGTGTGTCCGTGTCTGTGTGTGTGTGTGTGTGTGTGTGTCGGGGTGTGTAAATGTGTGTGTGAATATTTGATGCATTTGCTGAATAATGCATTGTTGGATTAGCTCCGTGAGGAGTCAGGAGTCATTTGGAAAAATGTCATAACTTCATTTGAGAGAGAGAGAGAGAGAGAGAGAGAGAGAGAGAGAGAGAGAGAGAGAGAGAGAGAGAGAGAGAGAGAGAGAGAGAGAGAGAGAGAGAGAGAGAGAGAGAGAGAGAGAGAGAGAGAGAGAGAGAGAGAGAGAGAGAGAGAGAGAGAGAGAGAGAGAGAGAGAGAGAGGAGAGAGAGAGAGAGAGAGAGAGAGAGAGAGAGAGAGAGAGAAGGAGAGAGAGAGAGAGAGAGAGAAGGAGAGAGAGAGAGAGAGAAGGAGAGAGAGAGAGAGAGAGAGAGAGAGAAGGAGAGAGAGAGAGAGAAGGAGAGAGAGAGAGAGAGAGGAGAGAGAGAGAGAGAAGGAGAGAGAGAGAGAGAGAAGGAGAGAGAGAGAGAGAGAGAGAGAGAGAAGGAGAGAGAGAGAGAAGGAGAGAGAGAGACAGAGAGAGAGAGAAGGAGAGAGAGAGAGAGAGAAAGACATAGAGGGAGAGAGCTGTGACAAAACACCTCCACATGGTTCTGATGAGAAGAGTTTGAGAGATCACAGACTGTGCAGATCTGCGGGGGTCTCTTTGGGCTGAGGGTCCATGTAGATCAGGGGTGTCCAAACTTTTTAGTGAGAGCCACTGTAGTTCAGCGGCTCTCGGTCCAGGGCCCGACATCACGGACTGAAAAACTGTCTTCACTGACATCAGGCTGTGCTGAGCTTTAAGATGATCTATAACTAGGGCTGGACAATAAATCGAATTTTGGCAATTAATCGGCTTTTGAAAAAATAAAATTCGTGAAAAATGTGCAAATCGTGAAATCGAATGAAGGATATTGTTCCAGCAGCACACAGTTATACTTGCGATATCAGCACAGTCTGTACTAGACTTTAATATTATGTATTGGGGGAAACAAATAAAAAATAGTTTTGAAACTTAAATAATAGCGGGAAGATAAGAAATATTTTAAGGGCAAAGTCTGTCTTGAGTGACTTTAATGAAAATCGATTTAAAATTGACATCGTCCAAAGCAGGAAATAAAATCGAGATGTTACTTTTTTGCCATATCGCCCAGCCCTATCTATAACAGAGCTGAAGTTGGCTGAATGACACATGGGTACAGCTCACCGGCTACATTAGCATAATTAACGAAAGTTGCACAATCAACCAGGTACGATATGTCTGTATTGGCTGAGCTGAAGTTGGATGGATGACACAGTGTACTTGTGTTTGTGATCTCAAGGACTATTGTGGGTTAGCGAGGCTGAGGCCACATAACATGACACTGAGGACCGCGATTGGCCCCTGGGCCTGAGTTTGGACATATGATGATAGATGGATTGGTTCGGACCAGTTTGCATGTTCTCCCTGTGTCTGCGTCTGGGTCTTCAAGGTGTCCCCAGTTCCTCCCAAAGAAAGACATTGATACTAATAATAATAATAATAATAATAATGCATCTATTTTATACCGAGCTTTTCAGACACATTTTTCTCTCTCTCCAAACTCAGTGGTGATAAACTACTACTGTAGCCGCAGCTGCCCTGGGGCACACTGACAGAAGCGAGTCCACCAGTCTGTGCCATTGGCCCCTCCCACCACACACTTCAGACTCATTCTAGACAAAGCAGATCTGACCTGAACAAGTTTAGACCGTTCCCTTCTAAAGTTTTATCTGTGGCAGAGTTTGTCTAAATGTCTCAATGTTTTCACCAAAGAAAGAGGAAAAGGCTTAAAGTGCATCGTCCTGTTTTATCTCACTCAGGTCAGTGGCACTAACGAGTTATTATAATTAATCACGATCAGTCCTCGTTCTACAGCCTGACTCCTGGATCCACAGTGTAGTTTAGCCGCTGTGGACTTCTGAATGCACTCGTTAAATGAATGCAGCTGATTCACAAATGAGTTTTACTAAGTTTTCCAGAGGGAGGGGCTGTCCGCAGCTCTCTCTCTGGTCTCTCTCTGGTCTCTCTCTGGTCTCTCTCTGGTCTCTCTCTGGTCTCACTCTC